GGCGCATCACAGAGTCATAGAACTATATGGTAGAAAGGGATCCCATTGGGTCATCTAATCCAAACCCTCATAATGCAGGAAATCCACAGGTAAGGCTTCTCTGGCTCACAGATGGGCATTCAGCATCTATTTAAAGCTCTCTATTCAAGGAGCATATTATATCCTCTGAGACAGGTCATTCCATCACTGAAATAGCAATTACCACCAGGCAGTTCCCCCTACTGTTTAGTCAAAAGAAACCAAGGGCATAGTGATATTCTCTAGAATAGCCATTCATACAGCATATTATACCCTCTGAGACAGGTCATTCCACCACTGAAATAGCAATTACCACCAGGCAGTTCCCCCTACTGTTTAGTCAAAAGAAACCAAGGGCATAGTGATATTCTCTAGAATAGCCATTCATACATTGAACAGCTACCAGAAGAATGTATGAAACTTTCCATATCTGGTCCATGTCATTTTGCATACCTTCAGTCATAAGTTAGTCCCATTCTCACTCTCTCACTCCTCCTCTCTTTGCATTTGTGTGCATGCATGTGTGCATGCGCTTGTGTTTTAATGGCTAGGATGTACGTTTTCTATTTCACTTTCCCTAATACTATAGGAAGCCACAGAGTTGAGTTTGCAAATGCTAAGCAGGGCTTTTGGGGATGGGACATTTTGGAGATTGCTCATTCATGGGGTTGCCGTAAGTCAGAAGTGACTTGACGGCAGATAACGATACACACGTTTGGACAATTGTTTGAGCCAACAGCTGAATGGAATCCAAATGGCAGCTGGTGTTAGAATGTCCGTATTAGTCCAGGGAGTGTGAATGAGGTTAGTTTGCCAACCACGTTGATTGAACAAAATGCTCTACCCTACCTAGGTCCAGAAGAATCTCAGGAACATTGTTCGGGGCATTTTGGAAATTGCTCATTCATGGGGTTGCCGTAAGTCCGAAGTGACTCGACGGCAGATAACAACAATGATACACATGTTTGGACAATTGTTTGAGCCAACAGCTGCATGGAATCCAAATGACAGCTGGTGTTAGAATGTTCGTATTAGTCCAAGGAGTGTGAATGCGGTTAGTTTGCCAATCACGTTGATTGAACAAAATGCTCTACCCTACCTAGGTCCAGAAGAATCTCAGGAACATTGTTGTCCAGAAATGATAGTTGCATCCCTGAATCAAGACAGACCAGGCAAAAATCGTGCAGGATAGGATTTTAGAAATACTACTGTTTGGAGACGATAACTATGCTAGCTGTAGGATGCTGGGAGTTGTGATCCAAATAAGTAACACTTCCAAGTTCTGAAAAGCAATTGGAACCTATCTCACATTTACCGGGAGGGTGCCTGATTTTATCCCTCCTGGAGCTGATTGATAAAAGCACACCCAACAGTGGCTGGCTCCATAAGTCCTGCCCCTTTTCAGCCAGCCAAGCTTTTAGTGATTGGCTTACTGGGAAAGGAAGAACTTATGTGGATCTATACCAGCCTTACAGCACCCTGGGATGTAGCTCACACCACTAGTAAGATGGTGGCACCCCATACGTGGCTTACCAGCCCATGCTTGCCAACTGGGACCTTGGCAAGTCTGGGGTGGTTTTGAAATTCCTGTAGAAGTTATACTTTCGAGAAGCCCACTTTTGGGTTTTATGGAGAAACAGCAATAGAAGGAGAGGGAAAGCAGGGTTGGCTGGCTTCCTCTTCTGTATGCCCAGATGTGCTGGATCAGGGCCAGTGTTATCTGGCTGAAGAGATAAAGATGATTTCTTTGCAAAGATTTGGCAACAATTCCTGGGTTTGGTTTTGTTTTATTTTGGCTTTCTTGGGGTAAGAGGATGGTCCTTCGCTATTTTCTGCTTGCCAGATCCACAATATACTCCTTTATCCTGATCTACATTGCAAAAGTAGGGTGAATTTTACAAAAGCTATACCCCCTTTTTTGTTCGTTAATTACAGTAAACGTGGTATTACTTCTTTTTCTTGTTGTTCAGCAATGTTATATTATTTATAGTTAGTTAAGTGCTATCAAGTTGTAACTGATTTATAGTGACTTTAATAGAGCTTTCAAGGTAAGTGAGCTGGATAGCCTGCTGGGGTGTTTTGTTTTGGGGGGGGGAGTTAGCTCTACTGGTTTTTAGGCTTAGGGATCTAGCTGCAAAGCCCGTGGTTAAGAGTTCAATTCCCCACAGTGCCACCTTGACAAGGGCTGGACTTGATCATCATAGGCTCCCTTCCAGCACTGCAGTTCTGACTATGATGATGATGATGATGATGATGATGATGATGATGATGATGTAATAATAATTATAATAATAATCGTAATTATAATAATTATAATAATAATTACAATAGGAGTGATTTTATAATTTTCACACACACCTCATGAGTTTCCATGACCAAGTTGTAATTTGAACCCTGATCTTCAGAGACCTCATTTGTCACTCTATCTACTACACCACACTGGGAACATTTTATTTATAAGGGTCAGATTGTAGCCAAATTAAGAACTTTTAAACACAGGCTTAATATCTTCAGTTAAGAAATTTCCCTGATTCCGTAACTGGAATTAATGTTAATAATTTAGCAGGGTTCTGCTATAGATATTTGTATTAACTACCTCAGCCCATGTCACTGAAGTGCTAAAGCTGAATTTTAATACGGATATGACTATTATGACGCAAGAAGAAGCCCACTGTTCCAGTTAGCAGAGTGTTCCGCAGAAAGCATTTGATAAATGTGGATTTATATATCCTTTGATGACTGTGATTTTGATTAGTAAAGACTTCTCAAATTATAAATCTTTCTTCTGCTGTGGTCTGGTGAAATATGCAGCATCTGGGAATCAAGTCAAGGGAATCCACATTATTTCAGGCGCTAAGTGCTTGAGAAGCTTCCCATATTAGTAAAATAGCCTTTTAAAAAAAAGAATGCTAGTAATATATCTCCTCTACCCAAGAAACTCTGCTGATTGAGCACTGAGTGGGTACTCAGAGTTGATCGTGTAGCACTGGACAATGGTTTAAAACTTTTGTTGTTTCACGGATGTACCATGTGGATGATGTGAACAGGAAGATGAACCTTTTCCTTAGTATGTCTAGGTAGTGTGTAAGAATTAGCTGTATGTTATGCTAATCACATTAAATATATCTTAGACTATAATCCTGCCTGGTTAGCTTGGAAAACAGCTATTGTAGCTGACCCTAGGCCAGCTAAGGTTGTGCTGAATTCACACCTTTCCCAGTGTAAAGTTAATGAAAAAAGAAATAGGAGTGTCCTTGCCCTGGCCGAACCTTAGGCCGGAGGAGTTTTGGATCTGGTGCAGCTTGGCTCCTCCCTCACCTTTCCGAAGCAAACAGAGTGAACAAGAGCAGACAGTAGCCAAGTGAACGTATGGACTCATCCCCTGAAAAATCAGAATAACCAGCAGAGTGCACATCCCCTTTTGGAAAGAAATCACATCCTTATTCAAAGAAAACAGAAGAAAACATGTTTCTACCAGAGAGACAGGATGAGCTAGATAATAGGAATTCTGATTCTGGATAATGAAGGTAAAGATATACAGAGCCATGTCTGCCACATTGCCTCTCAAGAACAAAGAGGTTTCCTCAATCCTCCCCCAATGTGGATCAAGAAGCAAGGAAATGAGATCAGCAGTCACAATCTCAACTAAAGGAAGATCAATACAGTATAAGTTAGAAAAGTTAAAGGACACTTTACGAAACCTGAGGATGTCCTTCTCTCTCTCTCTCTCTCTCTCTCCCTCTCTCTCCTTTCCCAGGCAAAGAAATGCATCTTCTTTGGTGTAAATTTAAGGCTGCCTTGGAGTCCTGGGTGTAAAGAAAGTCCAAAGACAGCCCTAATAGATGCCGTTGAGCTGTTATGGACATCTTTCTGTAGAAGGTTAAGATATCCCATGGAGGGATCAGCATGTATTACCTTGTTCCAATATCTATAAGCCAAGCTCTGTTGGGAATGGTCAAGGGTACCCAAAGAGATATGGCAGGGCCAGCACTGGATGGGTTTATTGAGCTGTTACCCATTACTCCACATGCCAGGGCTCTGTGATACTCCATCACTTTCTCTTCTTGTCCTAGGTGAATTCTTCAGAACGTTCACTTGTCATTGAAGCACCATGCTTCAATGCAGATACTTTTCTCATGATGAGTGTAACATGCAACGAGGCCCAACCTTTATGCTAGAACCTAGAAAAATGTATGATTCATTGAGCTTTCCACTGTGCTACCCATCCATGAGGCCAGCTGCTTCTTTCTACCTGAATGTAAATAAATATACAAATAAATAAACCAGGCCAGTTGATACATGGCTGCTCATTGGCATAAAGTTTCTGGAGAACGATGGTTGTTGTGAGTTTTTCGGGCTCTTTGGCCATGTTCTGAAGGTTGTTCTTCCTGACGTTTTGCTAGTCTTTATGGCCGGCATCTTCAGAGGACAGGGGTAGGAACTCTGTCCATGCTCTGTTGCTTGATGGCATTTAACTAACTATCCAACAAACAGCAACAAAGCATGGACAGAGTTCCTACCCCTGTCCTCTGAAGATGCCGGCCATAAAGACTAGAACTCTGTCCATGCTTTGTTGCTGTTTGTTGGATAGTTAGTTAAATGCCATCAAGCAACAGAGCATGGACAGAGTTCCTACTCCAGTCCTCTAAAGATGCCGGCCACAGAGACTGGTGAAACGTCAGGAAGAATGACCTTCAGAACATGGCCAAAGAGTCTGAAAAACCCACAACAAACATCAGATCCTGGCCATGAAAGCCTTCGAGTATACATTTCTAGAGAACATTTGATTTATAGGGTTAGAAATTATGCAGGCCTGATCTGAAGTAATTAATCTGTCATCTATTGTCTTTCATGAGATCACATGTCAAGGCCTTGGTCTACATTTCAGAAGTCTTTTTGAGTCTACAAGTGCAAATCAGATGATTGCTAAAATCTGCTTCAAAGCATTAACGTCCATGGTGTTGTGTTTATATTTCCAACAGAGCCCAGTTCACACTACGTAATCTCCTTGAAAGCCTTTAACAATGCTGGGGAGGGAGTCCCTCTTTATGAGAGTGCCACCACCAGATCTCTGACAGGTGAGCTGTAATGGCTGGCTGACTGCTTTATCCATTTCTACCACTCTCATGAGCATAACAGTGCATGTGCTTGGGAGGCATGGAATTCATGTGTAAGGTAAGTGAATGCATTTTCGCAGAAGTTGCTTCCTGGATGAGTGTCATGCTCTGAGTTTTGAATGGTCCAAAAGGTTCAGGGTCTCCAAAGAGAGTAAATAAAGACTGCCTACAGAAGCATGTGCATTGCTCCCAGAAATAGTTCTGCGTCTGAAGTGTGATTTTATGCAGTATAAGAATAACCATGATGCTATATCCCTAATTAATTAGTCGACATTTCCTAGTTCTCATGGAATGATGAAGATGCATGTACAAGCTAGCCTTGTGTCAAACAGCTTTAAAGCTTTACAATAGCCTTCACATTTCCTAGTTCTCATGGAATGATGAAAATGCATGTACGTACAAGCTAGCCTTGTGACAAACAGCTTTAAAGCTTTACAATAGCCTTCTTCAGGGACATTAAGAGTGCTGAAGGAGATTCCTGCTTTGCATGCTAGAAAAAGAAGAAGATAATATCTAATTCCTATCTCATCATGGTGTTGCATGGAACATGCCTGTTCACATGGTGCTTCAGTATTAACCCAAGAAATGCCAGAATACAGTTGTTATCTGATGGAAGAAGAGCCTCTGCATCTACCAAGCAGACTAGCGAAGAACCACTGTGTGCACCAGATGGGCAACTTGGGTATTGAAGGAATCTTTTGCCTGACTTCTGTGGCACAGGTCTATGGAATGGGTCCCCATGATCCCTTTTGTCTTCTACAGTTAAAAGTAGGGATGGCCAACTCTGATCCTCCAAACATTTTTGGACTTCAACTCACTACTGCCTATGCTGGCAAGAGCTGCGTGGCAGTCCAACAATATACATATGTGAATCAAACCTTCTCTGGTTTTGAAGAGCTCACACCGATATTTCTAAGACATAAATGTGGGAGGGACTTTAGTCAGCACAACATGAAATTCCACGCTTGCTCCCATGTTAATCTCTTTGGTGATCCTAAAAGCCTTGGAGAAGTTCCTGGTAGTTGCTAGTTTTTTGTGGAAGTTGGATGAGGAAGAGGGCTTTAATCTTAAAGGCAGAGCATTATTTGCACAGTGCTCCCAGCGGCAGAGCTTGCAAGCCAAATATCCCTGACTCCATCTGTAGCTTCTAAAAGCGGGGCTGGGAAACAAGCCTGCTCAAACATGAAGAGGTGTGTCAGTGAGCAGTGATAATCAGGAGCTAGAAGTCCAGCGTTCTCTGTTCTTTCATTCCCAAAATGGATTGAGAGTAAATTGTCTTGCTGCAACCATCTCTACTTCCATGTATCACTTTTTCCTATGGGTTGAAAGCTGAGTTGGCCTGAGGGCACTGCTGCTCAGTGAATGGATTTTACGGCTGGGCCTCCAGTTTTGGGCAGAGAAGAATATCCATGCCGTGTGTCTATCAATCCACTGCTTTTTGCTCTTTCTCTGTAGACAAGTGTCTACGTTGTTATGCGTACCATTTGTGTCAGTGTGTTTCACAAATATTCTTGTAGGCATTTGTAGACATTTTAGAAATGCATGTCTCCCTTTGACTGTCCACCAGCCTGTCTGCACCATACATTTGTTAAAGCAATGCTCTCTTAACAGAGAAATCAGGTTGTTTAATACTAGAGAGGTCAGGTCTTTCAGTTTTGCTTTCGCCATATGCTCCGTATGCCCTTTTAAAACCTCAGTACTTTCTCTCCCATTTCTAAAGAATTTAGAATTTAGCAAGAATTTGATTGAGTCCTTATCAAAAATAAACTGAACGAAATTCTCACTGATCTGGATCTGCCTGACCAAATACCGCATTTTTCTGTGTATAAGACTATACTTTTGTCTAAAATCTTTAGACTAAAAATTGAGGATCGTCTTATACACAGAAGTAAGCTGAGGAAAGAACAAAAACAAGTGGAGGGGAAAGCAGGGATCAAAGTGATCCT